GCCCCTCGGCGCCCTCAGCAGCGGGCGCGCGCGGCCGGAGCGGGCAGCAAGCAGTCAGAGAGCACACGGCACAGGGCGCCAAGCCGTTTATTGCTCCTCTACAGCAGGCCCTAAAGTACCTGAATGCAGGTGATGGCCGGGACCTGCTTCTTCAGGAAATTCATCCGGGATCGGAATTCCTGGCGAACCAAGTAGCCCCGGCAGCAGGCCTGCAGCTTGGTGATCAGGCCCTCGTTGGCCAGCCAGAGCTGCTCCCGGTTGTAGGCGGCCGTCACCCCGGACACGGAGCTCTGCGGAGGCGACACGCGCGAGTCGGCTCAGGCGTGCGACCCCCTGCCGCGCCGCCGCTGGGCAAACGGGAACGAGACTCGGCTCCATCTTTCCAGGCCAGGCTCTCACAGCGGAAACGCAGGTCCCCAGCACTGACCTCGTCGCCCATCTGGCACCCGTGACCTACTTCGGCCACGCCTCCACGCACCCTGGCTGTGCCGGGTGGCCAGGGCACCGGTCACCAAGGGCGGGCCCCACACAGCGGAGGCAGGGGTACAAGGAACCTAACTTAAGATGCTAAAACCACATGCGACAAGTCCACAGCCAGTATCATTCTCACGGACGCGCAGCGGGCTGGCCGGTGGCCCAGGGGAACAAAGCCGCGGCCTCCTTTCGGGGAAGGGGGATGGGGAGCGGCACAGCACGAGGGGGCTGGCCAGGGCCCGCTGCGGTGGGCACCCAGGCTAGGACTGGCAGGACTGAGGGCCTGTGGGGACGCCGCTCCCCTCCGCCGTGTGCGCGAGTCCTGACCCAGGGCCGCCACGCGAGCAGTCCACACAGAGCTCGGGGCGCCTCCCGGATGGCCCCCGTGAGCCGGACCGGCCGGCCCGCCCCTGCTCTCTGCTCCTTCCTCCTTCCTGCCTCAGCTGCTCACCTGAGGGCTGGGCGGCAGCTTCGCGACCGGAGGGCAGAGGCCAGTGAGAGGGCAGTGGGAGGGGCCGAGACCGCCAGCTCCCGCCCAGGCTCCCCGGCCCAGGTCTGTTCTGGGCACAGACGCCGAGACACCCTCAGACACCCTCCCACACGCAGCCCGATCCCCACCCAGCGGCGCTTAAGGGTAGCCGGACCTGGAGCGGAAAGCTGGCGCTGAGGAGGGGCTGGGCCCGGGCACCCCAGCGCAGCACAGGCAGAGGGCAAGGTCTGGGAGGTGCCGGGGGCGGCCCAGGGCAGGGCTGGGGCGGAGCCTCGGGCGAGACTGAGCCGGGAGGCAGGCGGTGGACGGCGCAGTGCCCCACGGCCATGAGCCTCTCGGTCGGCCAGGCAGCGACGGTTGGTGCCGCAGCGCCCCAGGCCCTTCCTGCTCACTGCCCAGCCAGGCCCAGGGCCTCGGCGGCAGGTCAGCAGGGGTGAAGGCCAGCAAGGGGGTGACTGAGGTTCAAGTCCCGCTGGTTAGATTTTAAGCCGTCCTCTGGGAGCTTCGCGGACGAGGGCAGGGGCAGGAAGGGGAACAGAAAGGACCCCGGGGGCAACGGGGGCCGGGGGTTCTGGCAGATCAGACGGGCTGGCTCGGACGGGGGCTGCTGCGTCCTGAGGCAGGACACGTGGGCTCCTGGCGACAGCATCGGCAAGGACGGGAGGGGCCCGCAGCAGCTGCTCAGCGCGCGCCGACTCCCTCGAGCGGAGGCGGCACAGGGCGGCGGCGGGCCGCAGCAGAGCGAGCCAAGCCAGACCAGGGCCGGGGACGCGGCGCAGCGGCCTCGAGAGAGGAGCGGGAGGGCTGTTCCCTGTCCCCTCCTGGGCGTGACTCGGAAGCGCAGCCGTCGCCTGCCTGAACGCTACAGTCCGGTCACCTGCAAGTCCCAGGCCTTCGCCTCCCCCACCACTGTGGCTCAGCCGGCAGCCGCCCGCGCCGAGCGCCCACCAGCACGCTTGCCCACGCGGGCCCGCGGCACCCCCAGCCGCGGGGGACGGCGGCCGACCTGGATCTCCTCCCGGGACAGCTGCGTGGAGTTGAGCTCGAGGCCCGGCGGCTCGTCCCAGCTGCCCTCCTGGGTCTGCAGGCTGTGGTAGTAGTAGTAGCCGCCCTTCACCCAGTGCTTCACCCACGGGCTGCGCTCGTCTCCTGCGGGAACACGCGGTGAGGGGTGAGGGGCGCCGCGCGCTGGGCACGGTGGGGCGCGGCCCGAG